CAGGGAGAGCCTGCCAGGTCCTCTCTCTTCCTGGTGCCCTGGGAGGATGGGGAGGGAGGCACACTCCAGCCCATTTCTGAAAGGTTCTTGATAAATCTTTGCTCATCTCCTCTCCCAGGACCAGAAGGTAACTGCCGTAGAATGTTATTAAGGATTTCGTTTTCTTTTTCTTTTTTTCTTTAATTCCAAATCTGAGAACAAAGATGTCTGGTTTGGGGCAAGGAAACAGAAATCCGATGGGGAAAGGGAATTCCTTCACCATTAACTTTCTAGAAGGGTAAGAAAGTGCGTAGGTTGAAAGCAAGTTTCGTAAAAGAAGAAAGAAATTAAATTTAAGCATTAAACAACCCCTGTTAGGTAAAATAAAAATAGAGATCACTGGACTTGTGACTTTTCTAGGAAGGGGAACTGAGAGATGTCGCCTGCTCGCCAGCAGGGGGCACGTTTTCTTTAAGATTGTCTCCCAGAATCTGGTTAAACCGTGTGGTCAGACTTGCCCAGTCTCTAGCCGGAAATCGCTCTGCAGATAATAACCCTCCAGTGTCTGGAAATGTTTAATTACCGTGAGCGCCGGCTGCCGCGGGCGCAGCCCGTGGGGACTCAGCGCTGCAGGTGTGGTGGGAGCCTGTAGAATGCAGAAGGTCACCGGTGCCACAGGAATCCGTTCTACCAACTCTTCTCCAGAGGTGTTGCACTGCGTAGACACTGCGTCCTCAGTTCAGTTGCACTGCGTCCGTTTCCGATGCGCTTACTTCCACCTTGGATAAAGGGACATTTCAGCATCCTTAGAACACAGATATGTTATACCTCGAAAATAATTCTTGACAACTCAAATTGGTGCAAAAGGTAAAAATCCATTATGCCTCTTGCACACGTTTTACATTTAATCTTCACAACATGAGTCATTATCGTCATTTCATTGCACCAACGATAATATGGCCAGAGTTCACGCAATTCCCTTCGTGTATTAGCGTTTTCGACGTATTTGAAGGTACGTCTACACGCGTGTGTGTCTTGTTGCACTTACTAGAGGGACAGATAGGTACAAGATACATAAGTGCTCCTAAGGAACTTAAGAAACGGGAACTGCCTGGGGAAAGCACAGCTCACTTTCCCTTTCAGTTTTGATACTGTAACTTGTCCGTTGCTGTCACAACAATAAACATCCATAAGAGCGGATGACATCCCTTGCGTTCGCCTGGCACAATTCTTCTCAGAACCTTGGTTGCTCATAGTTCGTTTTCAGAGGTGTTATCGTCACAGATACGCATTGAATCATGTTACCTGCCTTGCCATACTTAAAACCTCTCCCTCCTGCCCCCCAAAGCTAGATTTTGACCTGATTGCCCATGATGGTTCCAAAGGAACTATTACATCCATCATCCAAACGGATACGGAGGGATACCTAAATCTCCTGGTTGTTTGAAAACTTGCGGAGGCGGGAAGAGTTAATGAGTAGATCCCCAAATGGCCAGAAAGTAGTAGCAGGAACGCCTGTTTCTGCAGCAAAAGCTCGCAAGTGTTAAGTAAATTCTTCTTAAAAGAATGAGGTCGGTTTTGTGTGTTTGAGGAGTGTGAAGAGGTGGGATTGACTTTTTTAAAAAATTCAAAACCACCGGATGCAATATAGGCCACGTTCTAGTTAATTTTCTGGAAGCTGCTCAATTTTCACTCTGAAAACAGTCTGGGGCTCTTTTTCTCCCAGTGAGCAGGAGTGGAAGGAAGAGGGGCTGGCTTTGGGGCAAGAAGACTAGCGGAGGTTGTCCCTCTCCCAGGCGTGCCCAGGACCAGGCTCTGAGCGCTGGAGCAGGGGCTGGGCGCAGGGCAGGGCGGGCAGAGGCCGGGGAGGTTCGGCTGTCTTGGGACTCTCTCCCCCGCGGGACACCTCAGGCGCCGGCCGGGAGTGTGGCAGAGGACAGCGGGACCTAGACCTGGAGCTTTGGTTTCCGAAGGGTGCCTGGCACCAGGAGAGTATGGGACCCCTTTGCATCCGGCATCAGCATTTCCGCGGTGGCCGAAAGAGCCGCGTTCGCGCCAGGTCTGTTCGCCGACTTGGAACCCACAGGTTCTAAGCGAGCAGAGGCTACCGTCGCCGCGGCGGGCTGCGGAATGCGCTGGGTGGCGGAGTTCGCTGGACCCCAGAATGAGACGGACATCCGGACGCGAGGGCGAATTTCAACAACCTTCACTGGACTCTTGAGCCAGAACGGCTAGGTCCAGGTTACCTAGGGCGTTTACCAAATTTGAAAGGCGACATGCTTGAGAATCCTAAACTAAACGAATCTAACTTCGCCAAAAAGGGTCCTCTTTGCCCTTAGGTGTCCTGGGTCCTGCCCTCCGCTGTCCATCCAAGTCACAGTCTGGGTGCAGCGCTGAGACTCAGGCCTTGATATTCTGATCAAGTTCTCTTGAACAGGCAGGGGGTAGGAATTCCACCAATTGCTCCACCTTGCACAGAGCAACCAAGGGGCTCTTAACTTCCAACGTGTTCCTGACTTCCCTGCCTAGAGGGAAACAGGAGGCTGGCTGGCCTCTCATGGAGATGAGAGGCCAAGGTTGGGGGGTCATTCACTTAAGAACTCGGAGTGGGATACGCGACTTTTCAGCTCCCATCAAATCCTGAATTTCGTTTTCCTGCCGTTCTGAGGTTGGGTATTGTGGGCGACCTAGGACACTGCCTTTTTGAAGCCAGAGGTCTGAAACATGTGAGCCCTTGCAAAGGTCCAGTGATGCCATCACCTAGGTGTACTCTCAAGCCCAGTCCTGTCCTGCTTTGCTAACCAACTCCAGGCAGAGTGGCCATGATTCCTTTGGGAGACAGAGTCTGGGGCTTTGGCCCTTAGGACCTGTACCAGCTTTGCTTCTTCATCCTGCCTCACATCTACTAAATTCTAGGATTCCGTGGGAAAGGAGGGTGGCAGATCAATGCTTCAGATAACCTGGCAAAGGCAGCCTTAAACAGCCTGGTTGCCAGTTCCTTTCCTTGGGATTAGGAACATGCTCTCTCCCAGGTGACATAGCAGTAACCTCTTGACTGTTCATCTGGGAGCTCTTTAGGGATCCTACTAGTTGGAGCTTTCTGGAAGTCCTTAGGTATGTTAGTTTGTTTTGTGAAGAGAAAGGATAAGTAGAAAGATGGAGGGAACACAGATGAGGAATTATGAGTGAGCAAGAGATGGGGTATATACACCCAGGAGGCTCCATCCTACCTAAACAGCCACTCTTCCTAAGGGTCTGACAGCCAAATGTCCTATTTTTCTCCCCATTTTTGGAAGTTTTCACTGCTCTTGTGGAGATTTCCCTAGTTTTGCCTGCTTGGGGAGTCTGAGGCTGGTACACACAAACTCGCTCACTGCAGGTGAAAGTCAATTCAGCACACCAATGCCCTGCCTGGACTTTCCCTTCCCTGTGATTGAAACTTGCTGCCCTGGAATCTCTTGGAAGGGGTTTAAAACAGCTGTCTTCTGCTCCAAAGGGCCACATTCTGGTCAGGATGTTATCCATATTGGCATTTGTTATGATTCCACGTGCACAGGTAAACTTCTGAGGTCTCCTACTCCTGCACTAACTTGTGGGACGGTGTGAGTGCAACCTCCTCTTGGACAAAGATTCCAGCACTCTCTCCTTCCTCCCCACACACCCAAAGTTACTGAGGGGCTGGAGGCCAGGTTCTGTTTTATAGTCTTGGGGATACAAAAGTGTCTTTTCCCACTATACTTTGGGGACAGGGTATATGACTATCTTCCTATGTCAGGAATCAAACTCCCACCCAACTTCCAGAAAATCAGATCAGCAGATCCAGATACCGAGGGAAAGTTCCTCTGCAGAGATGCTGTATGGATACCTTCCAGACTCATCTGTCCCCCAGGCAGGCACAGAAGGTCACTCTGCAGCGACACAGGGGAAAGCAGGGAGTCAGAAACTGGCACCTCCATGCAGAATACAGGTTGAGGGTGTTTCAAAATGTGGCAAGGTGGGGCAGGGGATCAGGGTTGGGGTCAGCTGGAGGTCAGCTCTGGAGATGAGCAGTCAGAGGGCACCTAGGTAGTGAAGACAATTTTTCTAGGCCAAAGCCCCCATTCGCTTTACATCCTAAACTCCTCCTGAACCAGTTCCTGGACCCATAACTCCCTTTGACTGAGTCGTTCTTCAGACTCCCATCCATTCTAAAACTAGTATGTGATTAGAAAGTGTGAGTATGTTCTGTGGTAGGAATCCCAGAGAGTTCTGAATACCAGGAAAATAACTATTTCTTTCCCCCACTCTGCGTCTAATATTTCTACTGAACTCCACAGCCCAGAGACTGGGGTCGCCCCAAGCACCCGGATGTTTTGGCTCACTGGAGTCGGTGACCTGGCCTTCCTACACCAGGTACAAGCCAGCGCTGCGCGGGTTACCGCCCTGGTCCTGAGCACACTGGAGTGTCCAAGGAGCTGCTCCACGCCCTGGGTCCGCCACCTTTGGGAAGAGATTTTGAGGGGAGAAGCAACTCTGTTAGGCTACAAAGTGCGCTGGAGCCCTAGTTGTAGTGCTCCTGTCCCGGTGCACAGAGACTCTCCCCCTCCCCCACCGCGCAACCTTTACGGGCACAAGCTGCATCCCAAAGCGCAAAAAATAGAACTCGAAACACGCTGTTCTAACCCGTCCTCGTCTGCTAGGAGCTGTTTCTCTTGTGCGCCAGGCATGCTCTGGTGGGCCTAAAAACGCAGAAAAGGTCGCGTGGGACTGGCGAGGAGGAAACACAGGTCGGGAGAAGCCCGGGCCAAGCCAGCTCAGCTGCCAAAGTCGGCTGCCCGGGTCAGCAAAACTTTGTTTGTCAGTGCGCAGGCGCAGGGCAAGGTTGGGGGGCAGGGGAGGGGAAGGGAAGAATCCTAAGGCAAGGGGCGGAGGGGGGGGGGGTTGCAGGGAGGGAGGAGGGAGGGTGGTGGATTAAAATAAGTAGGCGGCTCGGTGCTCAGGGATGAGTGAGACGGAGCTCGGCTTCTCTCCGGCACGTTCTCACCAGCTTGGGTTCAGACCCAGAGAGGGAGCCGGGAGTGAGGCTCACCATCCCCTGGTGGGCAGGACTGCCGGGCTGCTGAGCGCTCCCGCCTGTCGGGCGCTCGGAGTCCCCGTGTCTGGAGAGGGTTCAGGACTCCAGACCGCCAGGAGTGCCGGTGGGCTCCAGAGCTTCTGGCTTCCCGGATCCCGCGCAGCCAGCCCTAGAGACCGCTCAGCCTTGGGACCGCCGCGGAACAAGGTAACTGCAGCCCTGGGGCTCAGTAAAGCGAATGCGGGCAGTGCTCCTGGGTCCCTTGTCACAGCGCGGCGGGTGCCTTCTCTCTCGCTCAATATCCCGAAAGGAAGCTTTTCTTAACAAACGGAGGTTGTAGGACCTTTGTGAAAGTGAGAGCAGTTGCTAGCCCAGGGACTTCCTAGGCGGGGTCCTCGGCCTCTGACTTTGGGGTAAGGAGGGGAAAGGCCTCAGACACTGAACCCAGCCGTTCCGGGGCAAGGTGCCCGCGGACTTCGGAAGTCAGTCTTGGGGCCCCATTTAAGAAACCAGAGCAACTTCAGCCGACACAAACTTTCGCAAAACGCGCTTCTAGCTCAAGCTGACCTGACTTAGCTGAGAAAGAGGGGAGGAAAAGTGAGTGGATGGTCACAGCCTCAGCCTACCGCGCCAGGGACAGGTGCATGACCCAGGCGGTTACTCTTTAATACGAGTTTGTCTTTTGCGGAATTTCGCTCAGGTATGAGGCTGGTTCAATAGGAGCTCAGGGACCCGTGTCTGACGCCTGCCTGACACTGGGGCTCTGGCTTTGGGATATCCTTTATAGGATCATTCCTCTGTGTCCTTAAGGCCTGGAACTTAATGCTCAATTGTCCCTGTGAGGGAAGGCATGCAGGGGACGCGAGAACTGCTTCCCAATTCAAGACCTGCATGTGCTAGTAACAGAAACACTTTGGAGCCGGGGGCGGGGGGGGGTATCTGGAATAGAGATTGGAAGAGAAAGGAATTTTTTGCTCCCCTAGTTGTCCTCCAACCCAGCCTTGAAGGGAGGAAAATGGGAACCCGAGAACAGATAGAAGCTTGAAGCTTCTAAAATAATCCTCCTCCAAGGTCTCAGATAAGAATGAAAAACCATATTTAGTCCTTTTTCGAGGTGGACTCCGGGAATATAAACTAGCTGTAAGAGGTCTCTTTGTTGCAATAATTCGATAGATTTCACTAGGGTTTGGAGTTGCACGTTGGCTCTTGGGAACAGAACCACGTGCAAAGCTAGTTTCCCAGGTCTACAGCCTCCTAGGGAAGAGAAAGGCTGGCAAGGATGCGGAGCGACCGGTGGGTAAATGGTCTATCCTGGGCTCCTGGAAGTAATTGCGGTTTCATTAAGATTGGGATGCAGATCGCTGAGGACACAGCGGGCATTTCAGTGCGGCAGGATGGTCGCCTCTTTAGTGGGTTCTGCCGATCTCGTTTGTTCGTTGAGAGAACGCAACAGAAGTAACCGGTGCTGGTCAATCCTCCAGACAGGGGACTTGACGCCTGTCACCACTTCTGTTGGGAATTCCATGTCAAGGATGATTATCTTGGGCTGCTGCTGGGTTTCTCCAGGCGCAAACTCGTGGAGTTCGCTCCTTCCTCATTAATGCAAGCAGTTAACTCGCTCATGCTCAATTAGCCCCGAATAAACCACTTTAATAGACTCTGCACACTTCATTAATGCCCTGCATAGGGCTGGCGGCAGACCCGGGACTGGCGCTCCACGGAGCTAGGGACTAGAGTGCCCGTGCAGCACAGGGATCAGGACTCCAGGCGCGATTTGCGTTTACTGCGCATAGTCTGATGGTTACCAGCAATTACCAGGTCCAGAATCCGAGCTTCTTGCAGAGCGGATGCCTGGTCTGAGAAGAGGTGATTCCTCTTGGTTTAAAACATAGAAAGTGTTCGCATTGAGGACTAGACTAGGGGTTAGGGCAACTGGAGCGAGACAGGCTCATCCTCTCTGGCTGCAGAGACAGTATGAAACTGTTTTTCTCTTAGCTGACCGCCTGAAACCGGATCATGCACTCGGCCCATTCTTGTTACTAGTGAGAGCCACGTTTCGAACGAATTTCGTCCACGGGAAAAGTCATTGGCTGAAGCCTGGGGGCCCTGGCCTCAGAATGCTGCAGAAAATAAGAAAACCAACTGGGCCGCTGAGGAAAATAAATGGAGTGTTGGGGGAAATAAGATCGGGCAGATAGCCCAGAAAGGTTGGCTCCCAAGAGTAGTGATGACTGTATGCAGTCCTCATTTTGCCCCCCCATATGGAGTCCTAGGCCGCTTGGGTCTTTTCTGCTCCTGAAGAGCGGCAAGAAAGGCCAGGCGAGGTTGGTGGGTTCTCCCACCCAGATACCAAGCAGGCTCTCGCCGTGTGCAGCCCAGAGTCCTGCTGCCACCGCCGCTGACTTTGCATAGGCCAGGCACCTAGAGTAGCAAGCCTTGTCCTCTGCATTGCCTAGCGGGCTCCAGAGAGCCAGGAGGTGAGGATCTGATTTCTTGCGCCTGGAAGGCAAGAAGGGAACACCAAATCAAAGAGCACTTACCTATGTTTGGACAGACTTTTGAAACTGGCAATCTTCTCCTCCTCTTCCCCAACCTAAAGGGGTCCCAGCCTCCTCCTGGCCCAGTTACATTTTGCTTAACCCTTGTCTCAGAGCTCTGAGATGGTCTTGGTTTGTCCTGCGCAGGACTTGCACTAACAACAGTACAAATGACTCTCCCACTGGCCATCCTCCTGGCTCTGTGCAGATTTGTGCCTCCCCCAGCCTTGAAGTTGAATTAACTGCAGGCAAATCTCTGTCAGTTCAAAGTGTTTTTTATACCCGTCCCCCAGCAATACCTTGTTCTGTAGAGCCTACTACACCACCAGCCACCCTCCTGCCAGTTTCTAGCAGGAAAAGTTTTCTGGGTCAAAATCTTCCTCACTTCTCCGTGGAAGAGGCACTGCACATCCCTGCACTGGGCAAGGCATTTACAGCCTCACTGCAGGGACAGGCAGCTGAGTCCATGCCTGGGCCTTGCCCTTGGGCCTGAGGGCTAGGCCTACAGGGGTGAGTCCATGCAGTGTACGAAGGAGAGCAGTGGCCTGAACATCCCAGGGAAAAGGAATTGTAGCAGATTAGAGAAGAGGTCCAGGAAAGACAGGCTTAAAGGCCAAAGGAAGAAGTCAACAATAGAAGATGAAGACTGGACAAAGGAGAAGGGAGTTGCAAAGACCCTGTTCTGACTTCTTGAGTACCTCAAAGCTCAGATCCAGGAGTTTTGCACTTGGCTTCCCAAGGGTCACTGGCACTTTCGGCTTTTTTTTTTTTCTCTCCCCTGAATAGACCTGAGTTAGGAGTGTCTGGGATGGGCAGACCTTCCCATGCAAACTGGAGACCCTGACAAAGGAGGCCTAGAGATGTCAGCCCTGGTCAGTTCAGTGAGGCTTTCCTCTGGTCTTGCTCAAGCACCCTGATCTTGTAGTTGGAGGGTGCACAGACCATGACAGTGGAGCGCTGGCATAGGTGCTCTTGCCTATATACACACCAACCTGCCTGCCCAGGGTTCTCTGCATACATGATCATCCTAAGCATCCCCCAAACTCCTTTCCTATGGAGAAGCCCCCTCCTATGGGACTGCACATTTGACAATAAATGAGTGTGGGTATCAGTACCTTTCTTGAGATGAAAATGATTCCCAAGGACGATGATGGCAGGAGTCAGTCTGCAAGCAGCTTCAGAGAGTGGTACTAATAGGGTTTACTAATTGTAAGGCAGGATAGCAAACTTGATGTCAAAGTTAAAAGTTTTGAGGATAATGGCATGGTTTCTTTAACTTTTGGAAGACAATTCGAAGGTCAGCCCAGGAACTTAATGTGCAGGAACCGGGAAGTTTGTGCTTTTGTGTGTTCATGCATGTAGTATGTGTGCGGTCTGTCTGTGGAGGCTCTTCAAGGGTGTGAAGTGATCCCGTGTGTGTGTGTATATGTGTGTGGTGGTCTGTATATTTTTGTAGCTAGTATTGCTCCAGTTTATCTCTGCATCTTGTCAATTCTGCTTGGGAATGTGTGGATATGTGTTTATCTGTAAATGTGCATTTCTGAGTTTCTCTGCACAAGCGTAAATGTGCTTCCAAGTCCTGTTATCATTGCAAGAGTGTAATTCAATTCTTTGTGGCCCTGTGTTTGCCTGAATGTAGGTTTCTACATGCCAGTAGCCCTGTGCATGCCTTGCTCAGCATACTAGACCCTCCTTTTAAGTTGTTTGCATCGCTTGGGATTTAGTTTTCTGCTTGTTTCTCTATTAAGTTGTGTATCTCTGCCAGAGGCCATTTGCAGAGTCACCACATCAGGAAATATTCTAAATAGAGGGCTCTCCTGCCCATCTTCTATGTGAGGGCAGTGGGCTCCGTTGTTGGGGTCTTAGACTCCCAGCTCCTTTCTTAGGGGAAAGAGAAGATATGACTAGGCTGGAATTCTGGAGGAAAGTAACTTACTCTGAACTTCTCTTTTCCTCTCTCCCCTCCTTTCTTCCTTTGTTTGCAGATCCAGACTGAGAACCTGTGCAACCGCCATAATGGGCAGCAAAACCTTGCCAGCACCTGTGCCCATTCATCCGTCCCTGCAGCTCACCAACTACTCGTTCCTTCAGGCAGTGAATGGTTTACCCACTGTGCCCTCGGACCACCTACCCAACCTGTATGGCTTTAGTGCGCTGCATGCTGTACACCTGCACCAGTGGACACTGGGTTACCCCACTATGCACTTGCCACGCTCGTCTTTCTCCAAAGTGCCAGGGGCTATGTCCAGTCTGGTAGATGCACGCTTCCAGCTGCCTGCCTTTCCCTGGTTCCCTCATGTCATTCAGCCTAAGCCAGAGATCACAGCTGGAGGCAGCGGTCCAGTGCTTAAGACCAAGCCACGCTTTGATTTTGCCAACCTGGCTCTGGCTGCCACACAAGAAGATCCATCCAAGCTCGGCAGAGGAGAAGGCCCTGGCTCCCCTGCGGGTGGTCTGGGTGCCCTCCTGGATGTGACCAAGCTGTCCCCAGAGAAGAAACCCACTAGGGGACGCCTCCCTTCCAAGACCAAGAAGGAGTTTGTCTGCAAATTCTGTGGCCGACACTTCACCAAGTCCTATAACCTACTCATTCATGAGCGGACGCACACTGATGAGCGGCCCTACACCTGTGACATCTGTCACAAAGCCTTCCGGAGGCAAGACCACCTACGGGACCACAGGTGTGGCACAGTGGGTGGCCCAAGAGAGATCTGTGGCTGCTTTTGGCTTCACTGTACTCTTCTCCAGGGATGTTTGAGTTCCCCCTACTGGGTCAAAGCTTTCTGAAAATCACAAAGGAAACCATACCATAGGAAGCTCAAGGAGTGAAAGAAATACATGATGAATAGAACTAAAACTAGATCAGATCTCTAGAGGTCCAGACAGTGTCCTCAGCCCCCTTCCTCCATCCTCAGAACTGCCTAATGGGAGTTTATTAGACGATGGGGAATGTGGCAATTGAGCACTTTAAATGTGTTATCAGTACATCTGAGAAACGTATTTTTTAGTTTTATTTAATTTTGTGTAATTTTAATGTTAACAGCCACGTGTGCTGGCGTCTGCAGAGTCTTGGACAATTCAGCTGTAGGGATTGTTGGGCCCCAGCTTCCTTGATTGAGCTCCAGTGTTGACCCAGGTCTTATAAAGAGGCTGTGCTTGTCCTTCATCCTCAAGAAGCAGGTGGTTTGTTTGCCTGGACCTATTTAGGGATCAAACATTCCCCAACCATCTCCTTCACCTTCCTACTCCATCCACAAACTCTGCATTTTTGCCTGTTGTACACTGGGTACCCCACAAACCCTTTTCCTTTGCTGACAAGCACCTTACAGCAGTGGGAGGGGATCTGGGCAGCCTTTTAAAAGCAACATTGCATCATTTTGCAAGGATTAACAGTCTGTTTCTCCCCTCAGATATATTCACTCCAAAGAGAAGCCTTTCAAGTGTCAAGAGTGCGGGAAAGGATTCTGCCAGTCCAGGACTCTCGCTGTCCACAAGACGCTACACTCACAGGTGAAGGAGCTCAAAACCTCCAAGATCAAATGCTAAACAGCCTTTGGGCAACCAGGATCCTGGACCACGCCGCCACATTCTCCAGAGGGACCTGAAGCTAAAGGCGACTGGGCATGGGCAGCGGGAGGGGCGCTCGGGATCTTCCCCCAACCCAACAATGTCCCTTGGGTCCCAAGCGCACGCGGCACTCCAGAGCCCCGCGCGGGGCTTTGACCCCGACCGCCTGGGCGGCTCCCCCAGGACGCGGCTAAACTCTTAGCCAAATGGCGGTACTCACGTGGCGGAAGGGAAACTGCATCTAAAAAAAAAAAAAAAAAAAAAAAAAAAAAAAAGAACGAAAGCTCCGCAGAGCCGCAGCGGCGCCTCTCGCAGAAGTATTACTTTTTCTATTGTTATTTTATACGTTTTCTTTATTTTTTTTCTTTGACCATATAAGCTTGTAAACTCTGACTGTGGAGAGGGGAGAGGAAAAGAAGTTCTGCGTGTAGACAACTTCCAATCCCCTCCTCCTCCCGCCCCTATCCCTAACCCCCGGAGCCTGCAAAAGTGTAATCCGTGTATCTGCTTCAGCCGCCCGGGACCGCGGGCCCGGAGCGCCCCCATTCCAGCTCTCGCCCCGCAGTCGGCCGTGGGCTCCCGGGCACTGATGGCGGGGCGGGGACCTTGCGCTGCGGGACTGGAGGGGCCCGGCCGGGGCTCCCCTGCTCTGCCGCTGCGTGACCTGCCCGCGAGCGAGCAGCCAGCCAGGAGCGGGGCGTTTTATTGCGACTGGCACTTTATGCTGACCATCGGTAACGGACATTTATCACTGGAGTTTAACTATTAAATAAACGGTTATTTTACAGGCACTGCTGGATGGGTACTTTCCCTCCCAAACCGCGGTAAACCGCTCCTTTCTTCCAGAGGAACAGGTTTCTCTGCTCCATTCCGAACTGTCTCACTCCTCTCACCTTGCCATGGTGTTGGTGGAAAAACCTCGTTCTTCCAGTGTTGGTGTGCCTCTGCCCCATCCCATTTTTTTTTTTTTAACTCTTCTCAGTCTTCTGCCTTCCTCACCTTCAAAGAGTTGCAAGTGTACAAAGAACCCAGTTTGTGGCCCTCACTCAGGCTGCCAGAAATCCCAGCATCTCAGGCTGCTGGAATCGTTTAGGAAACAGAGCGTCAATCGGGCCACCAACAACCGGCAGTTTTCCTACCCACGCGGTAGCTTCTGCTCTGGAGTGAACAGACCTGCCTTCTCAGAGCCTCAGAACAGTACTGTCATGGGTCCCCCCGGCCCCACGCGTCTGCAAATATTCGATTCCTTTGCCTCTCCAAACTTATGTCCCTTGTTCCTTTCCTGAGAACTTTCTCTCCGTGCGCCCCCCTCCCATCCTCCCAATTCCGGGTAAGGGGCAAGTCCCAACCCGCATCAACCACTCAACACCCGCGAAGATTCTCCCTGCAGTTTTAAAGTCTGTGAGGGGCGGACGCCTTGGGAGGCCCGGGACGCATTGCAGGAGAAATCTGAGTCTACCCTTCGCAAGCAGAACCTTCCCCCGGGCCTCTAGTTTTCCCACAATTAGAGGCCAGGCCACCGGGGGCTCTACCGCCTGGAGGCTGGGCGGGGCTCCCCAGCTCCAGCGCCCGGGCCGCGGGACCGCGCAGACGGTGGCGCCCTCGGCCTTTCCCAAGTCAACGTGGCCTCCGGCTTTTGCGCCCAGGGAGCTGAGACCACTAGGTTGCTTCCTTACAGCTGGGAGCAAAAACCCCAGCCAGCAGCAGGGCCCTGCGGACTGAGAAAGCTGGCAGGAGCTGCAGGGGGTTAAAATGCTGTCTGCCTCCCAAGGTCGGCTCCATTCCCTTCCCCTGGTACACTCCCAGGCCCTGTGCGGGATAGAACTAAGTGGTCCAGGAACCCAACTTGGCATTGTGGCTTTCTGGGCTAGCGTAGATGAGCCTGGCCTTCTGCATTCGGAGTCACGCTGCCCCCTGCTGGACAGGCGTGGAGGGCCCTGTCCTACTGGGGCACCTCACTTTGTCCTGCCCATAGTTCCACGGAACTCTGAAGCAGGCCCCTGTCTAACACTCATCTGTGTATGCAGGACGCTGTCTGGTCAGGATTAGCCTGTGGAAATCTCCCCTTAATAGTCAAGAACCCAATCCCTCTTCCACCCAAGTCCACAAGGACTCTGGCTAAGACAGAATGATTCCCTTCTCCTGGAGACTTGGGACCTTTGGATAGTGGAAAGAGAGTTTGTCAGTGAATTTTGGGCGTTGATGGTATGGGCCAACTACCACAAGCTATGAGCTGGTCTGTGCTTGACTATGGTCTGTGCTAGGGCCAATAGCAGTGGTCATATGGTTTCCTTTATATGCGTCCTGGGAGGTGTGGTTGCTCCAAGGGTTGAGCGCTGGCGCCCATACACACACACACACACACACACACACACACACACACACAACTTCTAAGAGCCCTCCCTAGTTTGTTTTTTTTGGGATTCTGTCTTTCCTGGGGATTGACTAATTTTGCTGGTCCCTGCCCCTTCTAGGAACACAGAGCCTCTGCATTTAGCCGGTCCTGGTCCTCAGGACACCATGAATACTTCCCAAATGCGGAGGTCTGCCCAGGATGCCTTCCTTTCCCACCCACCCCTCTTCTTGCACGGTGAATCCTGGCCGCACCTTGAGTCCTGAGCCTCAGAGCCTTTCAATATCAGGTGTGCATCTTGGTAAGAATGGATTTCCAGGGCAGAATTTTTAATACGGGGAAGACAATGAGGCAGGGTGCTAGGCAGAGACCCCCAGTCCACCAAGAATGCCTCAGCCTGCTCTACCTGCAGTCGCTGTCATCTGGGTGGACCCAGGGACCACTTATTAGTGTCGTTTGTTGCAGTGATTCATGGATTGTTCAGAAATAGCAACTGCAGTTGGAAAGGTAGGTTGTGGCCACAGGCAATCAGACTCAGAGGCTACAATTCCCAGGTTATGTGGTTGGCTGGTACTCAGTATGGGTGACACAAAACATGCAATTGAGAGGGCTACAACTTTTGAGTGGGCTTTCCTGCATGCTCCCAATGATCCTCCCACAGTCCTGGAAAGTCTCAACTCTCCTCTCCCGGCTTCACTCCCCACCACAATAAACTTCTCTGTCAGAATGTCTGTCATAAGCGCCCAGTAGGTTTTCAGGAGCAAAAGAGGTGGCACTGACTAGCTGGAGTTCAGCTGGGTCCCATCCTAAAGCTATTAGGTCAGCAGGTTGTGTGCTGCGCGGGAGGTGGAAGAGGTACACGGTCTGGGCTGATCTCCCTTTGGAGAGTAGAAGGCGAAAGAGACCCCTGGTGCATCTTGGAGCTCGCTCTGGGAAGGGTCAGAAGCGTCCTGAAGAACATTCCTTTTGAAATGTAGCTAGAGGTTTGGAGAGCTCTAAAGTGCACAAGTTTTCCCGTGCACTTCTTTGCTGCTGGATAAGAGGTAGACAAAGTGGGATGGTTTCAGTAACCTTGATGTCACCTGTGAAATCTTAAGTCCCCTAGAATCTTGGCTTCCGGCTCAAAATCGTCTCGTTTCACCTTCCAGAGCTAGGACGCTGTGATGTCATGGCCTGCTCCCATGGCATGGTCACACAGGCCTCTGGAAACCAGAGTTCAAGGGGATTGCGATATCTACAGCAGCAACCCACTTACGTAGCTCTATGACGTCACAGACTGGCCCCTCCCAGAGCGGTGATACCCAACTTCCCACCCCGATCCGCGAATCTTTCTCTTGGTCAAGGTTTAGTTCCTATCAACTGTATCTCCAGACTCCCGGCACTGGCACTGTTAGGTGCCCCGAGTGAGGACAGCAGCAGTGTCCTCCTCCCGAATCCCGTGGTTTAGAATGGTCTCCGCCTGCAGAATTTCAGGAACCCGCTGCCACCCAACCTCGCCCTGCCCACTAGGGCATTGCGCACTTTGTCCGCCTCTCTGGCTTCCTCCCCGCCCATCGCGCAAGCGCTGTGCGCATGCGCGAAAGGAACTCGCCAGCCAGAGCGGCGGGGGCGGGAGTGCAGGGCCCTGCGGAGGTCCCGGCAGTCGCTGCTGAGCTCCTTGTTTTAGGCATTCTGAGTTCTATTTTCAGGGATTGCAAACTCATGGGGACACTGAGTGTCTCACCGCTGGCCTATGTGGGCGCTAGAGATGCAGGCGAAGAAGGGATAGCTCTGCGCTAATGCAGTCTGGAGACCCTAGGGACTCTATGACATCTCCAATCCAAAGCAGCAGTGATCTGTGGAAAGTGTCTAGGATCCGTGTCCTAGACTAGGATCCGTGTCCTAGACTAGGATCCGTGTCCTAGACTAGGATCCGTGTCCTAGACTAGGAAGTCCATTGCGGTCTCGCCCTTTCCCGCAGGGTCTCTAACACAGAGAGGTCTGCGCTTCCAGCCCCACAGAACTTCTAGAGGCGAGGTCTTTATTTCCCACCCAATTCAACTCCGGGGAGAGTCGAACAGGCTCAGTTTGTGTACGTTTCAGATGAAAAATTCACCGGACATGAGATGCTAGGTTGGGGTTAAACTTCATGTCAGTGACAGAGGAAGAATTGGAAACGATGTGTTCTTGGAGGCAAGGGGCCAGGAGAGCGAGTTCTTTTCCTAGAACACAAGCTTTGGGCAAGTCCCCGCATTTCTGAGTCTCGGTTTTCTTCCTGTTGTGGGGATAATGCTCTTCCACTTCCTCAGTCAGTTGATATAAAGGTCAAAGGCATACACATTTTGTAATGTATTCATTACTCGAACTAAAGGTTGGACCCTAATGTGTTATAGAACAACTTTGGCATTTGTGAACCATGCTAATGTATTATGAGAAATGCTTCTGTCAGCATCCTGCATCCTGTCCCCCAAGCCACCTTATTCCTGGAAAAGTCTCCCCCATCTTCATTTAATCATAACCCAGGGGGCCTGAAATGGGATGAGAAAGGGAGAAGATGACTCAGACTGGTGGTCTTCTTGAAGCCTCTGGGAAAACTTGAAAGAAGTCATTTTCAGTTCTGTGGGGATCAATGGATTAATCGGTTCACAAATTAGATTTGGTTGGGAAGAGGAAGTCAGGACCTATGTAGGAGTACTACTCCTTACTGGTTTGTAGCGTATGCTCTGGGAGTATAAAAGAACTTGGGCAGATAGAAATGTGGGGCAGAGGCAAATGTGACTGCTTAGGTAGCTGAACAAACAGCTGCAGGCAGAGTGAAAGACCCCAGGATTAATGCTTTGTTTGGCTTGTACAAGAGTACCCTAAACTAAGAAGAAAGAGGTCACACGTTGTGATTACATGGAAACATC